CTCCTCCTCCCCCTCCTCCTCCTCCTCCTCCTCCTCCTCCTCCTTCTCAATACCTTGTCCTTCTACGTATGTCTTTCGTGTCGGTTGGGCGGGCCGGGCGTTTCGCTCGAGACCTCATCACCACTGGTGGTCCCGGAAGCCTGGAACCTGCAACAGCTTCAAGGATGGAAGGCGGCTCGTGTCAAACTGTAACGCTCACCCTAGCGCCGCACACATTCGTGCTAAAAGTCTGCAACAGCGTCAAGGATAGAGAGCGGTTCTTGTTCGAAATGTGGCTCTCGCCTGAGCGCAGCGTGCATTCATCTTAACAGTTCGCAGCAGCTTCAAGGATCGAGGGCGGTTCCTGTTCAAAATGCGGTTTTCGCTCAAGCGCTGCTCGCGTTCGTCTCCACAGTGTAACGGCTTCAAGAATTCGTATGACTGGATGTCCAGAAATGGTTTTCTGACACGGTGTAGGATTGACAGGACACAACAATTCAATGGACTCATTGTGTGGAGGTCCCAGGAGGAACAGGGTCCTGGGACGTTCAAGGATTGTCAGGAGTCAGTAGTCACGATGACCCGCGGCGTTGAATTCCCAGGAATGGTGTTTCGCCGCGGTTGACACTTCCAGCAATGGTACTGAATTCTTGTAGGAGGCTATGAAGAGGGAACTTGGGAGGTGGGTGAATGGCAACATCGTTGATGCGTCGTGGGTTTACATTGGTCCTCATCCTCCTCCTCCTCCTGCTCCTCTTTCTACCGGATCGATCTGCCCAGACTTCTTCTAGAAAGCCCATGACCATAAGCTGTCGGAGCTCCGCGAGGATCCCTCCTGGCGGCGCTTCCAGCACCACCCCTGGCGCGCTCAGCGCCAGGGAGGTCGGGGGGGGGGGGGATGCCCCGATTCAGGAAATCCACGCAGGTTACATGTGTTTTGTTTGGTCGATCTCCCTCCTCCTATTCCTCCTCCTCCTCCTCCTCCTCCTCCTCCTCCTCCTCCTCCTCCTCATATTCCTCCTCTTCCACCATTATTTTCACAATGAAAAACACGATTGTGAACGTGGATATTCGGGTCGCCAGCGGCCCTGAATAAGTGCGTGGAGGGGGAAAAAATGAGAGGTTAGGAGGGATGCGGCAGGAGGGAAGCGATGAGCCAGAAGGGAAGAGTGATTGATGAATTGAGCTTCTTGCGCTTGGATGAAAGGTGACGCAGGCCAGCTGTGAGTGAAGCACGGACAAACACTGGCGACTTATAACAAGTCCTCCACATGAAGACAATCATGATTTTGTCATTCCCACGCCTGTGGGATTTCGGTGCTCGCCTTCGCGGGACTGGCCCAGAACGAGAAGCTGGAGTAATCATGAGACAAGAAGGAACAAAACGTTATTCCGACGTCGATGTTTGTAGTGAATTGGGCTCCTGGGAATCTCGACCACTTCTCTGGAGAAACACTACGTGATTCCGGCATGGAGCTTGCGGAACAAAAAACGCCCCCTGGACATGTGCTGCGTGTCCTGCAGCGGAACACGTTCTGGCGGCAGCTCCGAACGGCATCCGGCCGCGGCGACGGCGAGCCTCGGAGGCAACCAAACAAAAAGGCCGAAACGCGCACGAAGTCTCTTCCGTCCTTGCGCAGCAGGAGGGGCGACTGGAGACTGGAGACCGCGCCTGTGTCCACCCGGGGCCTCCTCCTCCTCCTTCTCCTCCTCCTCCTCCTCCTCTTCCTCCTCCTCCTCCTCCTCCTCCTCCTCCTCCCCCTCCCCCTCCCCTCCTCCTCCTCCTCCTCCTCCTCCTCCTCCTCCTCCTTCTCCTCCTCGGGACGGCCCTACGCGGGGCTAGGCGGTGGCGCCAGGGCGTCGGCATCACGCGAACGTCGCATATCAGACTCTGGCCAAGTCACCATGCCCTGTGGTTGTGCCTCCGTTGGTCGTCTTGTGGAGGGATGGAAGGGAACGGACGGCAACGGAACGCTCCCTCGGGCCCTTTCAGAGCGGAGCGGAGCGGAGCGGAGCGGGCGTGACCGTGACCTCACAAAATAGCAGGCGTGCTGCGAGCTGCCTCAGAGGGCCGGCGTCAGGCCGGGGGGGAGGGGGAGGATGCGCGAGGCTCCTCCTTGAGCCTGATGATCTCGAAGTTCGGCTTCGCCGACAGCCAGGACCCAACGGAGGGGCGCATCGGGAAGGGCACCACCTCCACGCCCTCCCCGTCGCCGCCCTCCTCCCCGTGGCGTCTCGCCGCGCCTCCTTGACGCTCAGTGCTCCTCCTCCCCCTCCTCAGCTCATCTTCCTCCTCCCACTGCCTCTACTGCTCCGCCTGCTCAGCCTGCTGCGCCTGCTCCGCCTCCTCCGTCTCCCGTGCCTCCCCCCTCTCCTCCCCCCTGACGCCCACGTGACCCTGGACGGGACAGCGCGCCAGCGGCGTCAGAGCTCACACCACGTCCCACCGGGCCACCTCGGGCAGGACGAGGGACTCTCGCTGCAGTGCTCGACAGGGGAGGAGGAGGAGGAGGAGGAGGAGGAGGAGGAGGAGGAGGAAGAGGAGGAGGAGAGAGTGTGTCTTCTACCTATCGCAGGGACGTGTGCCCTCCTCCTCCTTCTCCTCCTCCTCCTCATCATCAGCATCATCATCATCACCACCACCATCATCATCACCATCAACATCATCATCAACATCATCAGCATCCCTCTCCTTGCTTATTCAACTCCTCGCCCCCATATCCGCCTCATCCTTATCCTACTCTTCCTCCGCCTCTTCTCCCTCGCCCTGCCCTCCTTTCCACCTCCTCATCCCCGCTCATCCTCGTCATGTTCTCCACTTCCTCATCTTCCTGTTCCTCCTCATCACCTGTTCCTTTCTGGAGGCGAGGTCGTTCTCAAAATGGTGCTCTCGCCTGAGCCCTTGGCCCCAAGCACTTTCGTCTTCAAGCTTCCATCAAACAACTACACGGAGGGGGGCAGGGCTTTCAAAATGTGACTCTCGCCCCAGCGCCGCGTGTCTCGAGCGCCGCGCACACTCGTCTTGACACAGCACCCAACCAATGCACTGACCCGAAGCATTCGTCTTTAAAGCTCCAACAGTTACACAGATGGAGAGAGAGAGAGAGAGTCGCTTTCACAATGTGACCCTCGCTCGAGCACCGCGCATATGCGCCGTAATGTCTCCAACAGCTACGCGGCGAGGGGCAATTTCAAGAATGTGGCTCTCGCGATGGAGCGCCAGGCACATTCGTCCCAAACACTTCCAAAAATGATACGAATGGAAGTCGATACATGTTTAAAATTGTGCATCCGCAAAATCTCTGAACAGAAATGCAGCATGTGCAACAGTTACATGGCAGGATGGCGCTTCCTGCTCAAATCGCGCCTCTCCCCTGGGACCTCCTGAGGTATTCTACCCGTAAGTTTCCAACATCTGCACGGATTTAGGGCGGCTCTTTTCAAGGCGGGGCGTTCGCTGGGAACTTCCCTGAACTTGATGGAACATCCCGTGTGTTTTTGGACCATGACCCCGTCGATCCGCGTGAGGGGTGTCAATTTTTACCCACCCCAGCAATTCAGAGCACACGCTCAGGGCGTGGTAAAAATGCCCGTTTTGACCCTTCTCCCCTCACGCGGTCCATCAACAAGGAACAGTAAGCAGCAAGAAGCAGAACTGCAACAGTGGAAACTGGAAGCTGCAACTGGTACGGGAAACTGCGAACCTTCGCCCTACAGCCTGGTGGCCCCACAAGGGGGCCGGCGGATCTTTTGACTTTTTTTGAACATCCCTCCTGTACACCCTGCGAAATGCTTTAGAAATCATGGGTTAAGAAATTCATAGTCTCAGAATTTGAATCAAAGCCCAGAATGTCTATTCAAATCTTGGGATCTACACTGAAACATTAAGAATCATCGAGACTCTGGCCGAAAACTTGGGTATTCTTAAGCATCGCCTAGAGTGTAGAGGGACACGCGCGACCTACGCCTGCTCCGCCCCATCGTCGCCCCCGATCCCTTCGCGGGCCGGCGCGCGGCCACCCGAAGGCGGACGTCGGGAGGGGGCCCTGGCGCGCCAGCGCCACGCAGGAACAAATCACCGGTGGCGGCGTGGCGGCCCCGGCTGGGACGCCGCTTGGGCATGGCTTAACGGGGGGGTCACACATGGGGGGGTCCGAAACGGTCCCCTTTCGTGCCCCTTTCGGGCCCCTCCGGACCCCCAGGGGGCTCGTTTAGGTACCGTTTGGGTACCTTTTCGGACCACCCTCGCCACCCCCCCATTTATGACCCCTCCATTACGCAGCGCCCAAGCCGCCCGGAGCCTGGGGGCGTCCGGGCAGGGGGTGTTTCTACGGGAGGCGCAGGGATATCCTGATGCTATATCTGTCCTCCTCGGAGGCGCGCCTCCGACCCGAACATGTAGTATACCCATCCTGTAGTAGATCGTGTCCCGAGCGGTGTGGCCAGAAAGCGCCCACCACGACGCATATACTGTACGATTTCTCCGTGCGCGCGTCGCCACTGAGGGTGCGATACACATATAGTGTAAGTACGTTGGGGTGACGCCGATTCTAGAGTTAAGTCGGGCCTATCCCTCTAGAGTGGGAACTTTCAAAAATAGTCGAAACATAGTCTGGGACCGACGTTTCTAGTATGTTTGACCATTCTTGATTATTTTTGGACTATTTCAAATTTGTCATACAAAATCCGCCTGTGGGGGGACATGCCCGAGCTATTTCTAGAGACCCCCTTAGATGGGGTCCGAGTGCGTCAGGTTCGTGTCGTGCCGACTTCGGCGTTGGCTTCTGACACCGCGGAGATCGTTCGCCCTTGAACGACTGGCCGTTTCCGAAACGTCCAAATCCTTCCACATCGAACGATTCTGGGTCGCCCACGGCGTTCAAAATTGAACGCCGCTGGCAGGGTCGCCGCCAGTCGACACGACGCGAACCTACCGTAGGTGGGGTCGGAGGATCGAGCCATGACGTCGATGCATCGGCGATGCGGCACGATGTGAGGCCCGATTTCTCCACGCTGGCGTCGCCGATGCATCGACGATGTCGCCGATGCGTCGCCGATGCATCGCCAATGTATCGGCGATGTACGGGCGTTGCTGCGCAATCATCCGACCCCGTCTACTCCGACCCCACCTGGGAGGCATAGAGTCCAAGAGGGGGGTTCGCAAATCATGGCCCGAGGCATGTGCGTGGCCCAGGGGAAGGCTGGGTGGCGTGATGAGATAAGGAGGAAAGGCATGATGCTAAGGGAGGTTTCATGGCACCGGCCGTGATATTTGAGCAAGGACCGGCCTACCACGACATGTTGTTAGAACCCCAACAATGTTATACGAAACAAGTATGTCCTCAGCACACAAGCCCGATGTATTAAAGCAAGACAGTATTGGCCAGAAATGTTCTAAGAGCATTTCGCGCAGACTACAAAATATTATTAGAACATTCTGCAGTGAGCCTATAGGCGAGCCAGGACGCTTCGCCACTGCTTGAGATATCATCCCCCCCTTAGTCATCACCCCCTTCCTGGCCGCCCCCGGCGGATCCACGGTGGCCCCGCGGCCCCCGGGGCACAGGAACACCCTGGCCGAGACGGCCAGCCAGCGGCGGCGGCCCAGGGCTCATTCTCCCTGCCTGAGGCCCACTCGCTGGCGCTTGCCACCTCCTCCCTTCCTCCTATCCCCTCCCATGCCCCTCTGCTCCCTGCTCTTCTGTTACTCCCCGGCCCTCCTTCCTCCCTTTTTCTCATCCCCCTCCGCCTCCTCCGTGCCTCGCCTGCTCCCGATGCAGCTCCTGTCCCTGCTCCTGCTCCTCCCCCGTCCACGTCGTCCTCCGCGTCTTGTTCGCCCTCATCGTCCTCGTCACGGTCATCCTCGTCCTCGTCGTGCTCCTCCCCCCTGTTACGTCTCCTTCCCCAGACCCCCGACCCGAAGGGTCTCAACCCATTCCTGGGGACTGGCTTTTGATCCTGAGCCTCACAGCCGAAATCATGATCAAACAAATTATGACTCAAGACTTCTGGGCCAACTTCCCAGAAATTTCTTAAAACAAGCCTGGGCCAACTTCTGTTGTCAAAGGCCAACACACTTAAGAGACCCGGCCAGTTTTCTGGCAAGCCGGCCAAGAAACGCAGGCCAAGCTTTTCGGAAGGAGGCCTCTTAATCATACAGTAGACCGACCGTCTCTTGTGACGGTCCCCGAGGCCAGGGGAGGGCCCCCCGAGGCCGAAAATAGCGACAAAACCTTTGGTCGTGATTTGGTCATAACTCGAGGGGCGCCTGACGCGCAGTCGGACTGTAGGCTCCGGTCGCGGTCGGGCGCGTCCTCCTACAGGCGAATCTAGGAAAAATGAGAAGCATAGCCAACAATAGTCGACGAAGCGTCCCCAGACGATGTTTTTTTATACCGTTTTTGAAGAACACTCCATCTGTAGGGGGACACGCCCGCCGGAACTGTAGGCCCGTCACTAGCAGCCTCTGCAAGGCTGTGTGGCTCGCCCCCTCTCGAGCGCCTCATACTTTGGGGCTGGCACAAGCCTCTCCGCTGAAGGATCTCGGGCCTCCAGGCAGCTGTCGACGGTGGGGGCCCCCCTCGAGCAGCTCTTCCAGGGCGAGGAGCGTGGCTTCTCCGACCTGTCTGTGCGCAGGCCCAGCCTCCCGAAGGGGGGGGGCCTGGGCCCCCTGCTCCTCCACCATCTTCCTCGGCTACGCGTACGGGTGACCCTGGGCAAGAGTGACCGTTGGTGCGCGGCTTTTTGGGGGCCGCGGGGGGGGCCGAACACAAGCGCGCAAGACGCTACTACCGCATCGCGTTCGGCGATCGGGGGACCCCATTGGGCCCGCACCAGAGGTCACTCCGGCGAAAGGTCACTCTTACGTGTAGTCGATCATCTTCCGACCAACTGCCCCATCCATCCTTGGCGTGGAGGCGAGGTCGCCTGGTGGGAACGGGGCCCAGCCCCCGGCGGCCTTTCCCCCCCCCCAGCCGCCTGCTGACGCCCCCGGGGCCTGGAAGGAGAGGGCACGCGCGGAGTCCGAAAGCAGCTGCAAAAACATAGGATCACCCCTACCCCAGTCCCTGCACACGTGCTGACCCGCGCAACTTCATGCTTTCCTAACTTTGAAAAGTCCTCGGCAGCTGGACCGACCGAAAGACAACACAAGCAAATACCCGCGATGCCGACCAGCGCCTCGATCCCCGTGCCCACCGGAGGCGGTGGCGGCGGTGCCGCCAGCGGTGCCGCCGGCGGTGCCGACGGCGTGGGTGGTCTTGGAAAGGGGTTGAATTTGATGATCAATTCCTCCTCGGCAAACGCGGCGGCAACGTGATGGGAGCCCAAGGCCCTGGCGTAGTCATAACACCTCGGGCCACCACTCGCCCTGCAGAGACTCTGACCGAAGGCCCCCTGCTGAAACGAGTTGATTATGGCCTGGCGATGCGGTATGCCTTGCAAGCAGACAGCATGTCGCTCCGCTTCGCGGGGCGGGAGGCTGGGAAAGGCTCAGAACGCCGACGCTCTGGGAATCGGAACGTGTTTAGCGTGTCGCGCCCAAACGCGGTGGGCCAGAGTACCGGCGGCGCGACACGCTACGGGCCAAAGCTCCCCCTGACCGTAAGCAGCTCCGTCCCTTTAGGGCCACAATCCCAGACCCCCGACGTCAGGATAAGAATAACGTCGACGCCGAGAGGTCCCGACCCAATCCCGTCGTCGCCGTCGTCGTTGTCGTCATCGTCGTCCGTCGTGGTAACCGTCGTCGTCGTCGTCGTGGTCGTTGTCCGTCGTCGTCGTCGTCGTCGTCGTCGTCGTGGTCGTCGTCGTCCGTCGTCGTCGGTCGTCGTCATCGACCGTCGTCGTCGTCCATCGTCGTCACCGTCGTCATCGTCGTCCGTCGTCGTCGTCAGTCGTCGTCGTCGTCCGTCGTCGTCCGTCGTCGTCGTCGTCGTCGTCGTCGTCGTCGTCGTCGTCGTCCGTCGTCGTCGTCGTCGTGGTCGTCGTCCGTGGTCCATCGTCCATCGTCGTCGTCGTTGTCGTCGTCCTTGTCCGTCGTCGTCATTTTCGTCGTCGTCCGTCGTCGTCGTCGTCGTCGTCAGCCGTCGTCAGCGTCGTCGTCGTCGTGGTCGTCGTTGGACGTTGTCGTCGTCGTCGTCGTCGTCGTCGTCGTCGTCCGTCGTCGTCGTCGTCGTCGTCAGCCGTCGTCAGCGTCGTCGTCTTCGTCGTCATTTTCGTCGTCGTCCGTCGTCGTCGTCGTCGTCGTCGTCCGTCGTCGTCGTCGTCGTCGTCGTCGTCCGTCGTCGTCGTCGTCGTCGTCGTCGTCGTCGTCGTCGTCGTCCGTCGTCGTTTTTGTCGTCCGTCGTCGTCGTCGGTCGTCGTCATCGTTGTCGTCGTCGTCGTCGCCGTCGTCGTCGTCGTCTCATCGTCGTCGTCCGTCGCTGTCGTCGTCGTCAACATCCGTCGTCGTCCGTCGTCATCCGTCGTCGTCGTCGTCGTCGTCCGTGGTCCGTCGTCCGTCGTCGTCGTCGTCATCGTCGTCGTTGTCGTTGTCCGTCGTCGCCGTCTTCGTCATCGTCGTGCTCCGTCGTCGTCGTCCATTGTTGTCGTCGTCCGTCGTCGTCGTCATCGTCGTCCATCGTCGTCGTCGTCGTCGTCCATCGTCGTCGTCGTCGTCGTCGTCCGTCGTCGTCGTCGTCGTCGTCGTCGTCGTCCGTCGTCGTCGTCCTCGTCGTCGTCGTCGTCCGTCGTCGTCGTCGCCGTCGTCGCCGTTGTCGCCGACATCGTTCATCGGCGTCGTGGTTGTCGTCGTCCGTCGTCGTCCGTCGTCGTCGTTGTCGACGCCATCCGTCGTCGTCGTCGTCGACGTCCGTCGTCGTCCGCGGTCGTCGCCGTCGTCGTCATCAGTCGTCGTCCGTCGTCGTCGTCGTCGTCGTCGTCGTCGTCGTCGTCCGTCGTCGTCGTCGTCGTCGTCGTCGTCGTCCGTCGTCCGTCGTCTGTCATCGTCATCGTCGTCGTCGACGTCCGTCGTCGTCCTCGTCGTCATCGTCGTCGTCGGCGTCGTCGACCGTCGTCGTCCGTCCGTCGTCGTCGTCGTCGTACGTCGTCGTTCGTGGCTCGTCGTCCGTCGTCGTCGTCGTCCGTCGTCGTCGTCGTCGTCGTCCGCCTTGGCGTCCGTCGTCGTCGTCGTCGTCGTCATCGTCGTCGTCGTCGTCATCGTCCGTCGTCGTTGTTGATGTCCGTCGTCGTCAGTCGTCGTTCGTCGTCGTCGTCGTCGTGCGTCGTCGTCGTCGTCCGTCGTCGTCGTCGTCGTCCGTCGTCTTCCGCTGGCGTCGCCGTCGTCCGTGATCGTCGTCGTCGTCGTCCGTCGTAGTCGTCGTCCGTCGTCGTCGTCGTCGTCCATCGGCGTCGTCTTCGTCGTCAATGTCGTCCGTCGTCGTCCTCAGCGTCATCGTCGTCATCGTCGTCGTCATACGTCGTCGTTGTCTTCCGTCGTCGTCGTCGTCCGTCGTCGTCGTCGTCGTGGTCGTCGTCGTCAATCGTCGGCGTCGTCGACCGTCGTCGTCCGTCGTCGTCGTCGTCCGTCGTCGTCGTCGTCGCCCATCGTCGTCCGCGGTCGTCGTCGTCGTCGTCATCAGTCGTCGTCGACCGTCTTTGTCGGCCGTCGTCGTCGTCGTCGTCTGCCATCGTCGTTGTCGTCGTCCGTCGTCCGTCGTCCGTCGTCGTCGTCGTCGTCGTCGTCGCCGTCCTTCGTCGTCCTCGTCGTCATCGTCGTCGTCGACGTCGTCGTCCGTCGTCGTCGTCGTCGCCCCATCGTCGTTGTCGTTGTCGTCGTCGTCGTCGTCGTCGTCGTCTCGTCGTCCGTCGTCGTCGTCGTCGTCGTCGACGTCGTCGTCCGTCGTCGTCCGTCGTCGTCGTCGTCGTCGTCCGTCGTCGTCGGCATCGTCCGTGGTTCATCGTCCATTGTCGTCATCGTCGTCGTCGTCCGTCATTATCCGTCGTCGTCGTCGTCCGTCGTCGTCGTCGATATCGTCGTCCGTCGTCGTCGTCGGTGGTCGTCGTCCATCATCGTCGTCGTCGTCCGTCGTCGTCGTCGTCGTCGTCGTCGTCGTCCGTCGTCGACGTCGTCATCGTCGTCGTCGTCCGTCGTCGTTGTCTTCATCGTCCTCGTTTTCGTTCGTCGTCGTCGTCCGTCGTCGTCGTCGTCATAGTCGTCCGTCGTCGTCGTCTTCTTCCGTCGTCGTCGCCGTTCTCGTCGTCGTCCGTGGTCCGTGGTCCCTCGTCGTCGTCGTCGTCTTCATTGTCCGTCGTCGTCGTCGTCGTCCATCGTCGTCGTCGTCGTCGTCGTCCATCGTCGTCGTCGTCGCCGTCGTCGTCGTCAATCGTTGTCGCTGTCATCGTCGTCGTCGTCAGCGTCGTCGTCGTCCGTCGTCGTCAGTCATCTTCGTCGTCGTTGACGTCCGTCGTCGTCGTCGTCGTCGTCGTCGTCATCGCCGTCGTCGTCGTCGTCGTCCGTCGTCGTCGTCGTCGTCGTCTGTGGTCCGCCGTCGCCCGTCGTGGGCGTCGTCATCGTCGTCATAAGTCGCCGTCGTGGTCATCCGTGGTCCGTCGTCAGTCGTCGTCGTGGTTTGTCCGTCGTCGTCGTCGTGGTTCGTCGTCCATCGTCGTTTTCGTCGTCTTTATCCGTCGTCGTCGTCGTCGTCGTCCGTCGTCGTCGTCGTCGTCGTCCGTCGTGGTCGTCTTCGTCGTCATCGTCGTCGTCGTCGTCCGTCGTCGTTGTCTTTGTCGTCCTCGTTTTCGGTCGTCGTCGTCGTCGTCCGTCGTCGTCGTCGTCGTCGTCGCCGTCGTCGTCCGTCGTCGTCCGTCTTCGTCGTCATCGTCGTCGTCCGTCGTCGTCGTCGTCGTCGTCGTCGTCGCCGCCGTCGTCGTCCGTTGTCCATCGTCCATCGTCGTTGTCGTCGTCGTCGTCCGTCGTCGTCGTCGTCGTCCGTCGTCGTCCGTCGTCCATCGTCGTCGTCGTCGTCGCCGTCGTCGTCGTCGTCGTCCGTCGTCGTCGTCGTCGTCGTCGTCGTCGTCGTCGTCGTCGTCGTCGTCCGTCGTCGTTGATTTCGTCGTCCTCGTTTCCGGTCGTCGTCGTCGTCGTCGTCTGTCGTCGTCGTCGTCGTCGTCCGTCATCGTCGTCGTCGTCGTCGTCGTCGTCCGTCGTCGTCGACGTCGTCCGTTGTCGTCATCGGTTGTCGTCGTCCGTAGTCCACCGTCGCCCATCATCCGTCGTCATCGTCCGTCGTCGTCGTCGTCGACGTCGTCCGTCGTCGTCGTCCGTCGTCGTCCATCATCGTCGTCGTCGTTGTCGTTGTCCGTCGTCGTCGTCGTCGTCCGTCGTCGTCGTCGTCGCTGTCCGTCGTCGTCGTCGTCACCGTCGTCGTGGTCGACCGTCGTCGTTGTCGTCGTCGTCGTCCGTCGTCGTCGTCATCGACGTCGTCGTCGTCGTCGTCCGTCGTCGTTGTCGTTGTCGTCCTCGTGTGCGACCGTCGTCGTCGTCGTCCGTCGTCGTCGTCGTCGTCCGTCGTCGTCGTCGTCGTCCGTCGTCCGTCGTCGGCTGTCGTCGTCCGTCGTCGTCGTCCGTCCGTCGTCGTCGTCATCGTCGTCGTCGTCGTCGTCCGTCGTCCGTCATCGTCGTCGTCGTCGTCCGTCGTCGTCGTCGTCGTCCGTGGTCCGTCGTCCATCGTCGTCGTCGTCCTCGTTTTCCGTCGTCGTCGTCGTCCGTCGTCGACGTCGTCGTCATCCATGGTCGTCGTCCATCGTTGTCGTCGTCGTCGTCGTGGTCATCCATCGTCGTCGTCGTCGTCATCGTCGTCGTCGTCCGTCGTCGTTGTCTTCGTCGTCCTCGTTTTTGGTCGTCGTCGTCGTCGTCCGTCGTCGTCCGTCGTCGTCGTCGTCGTCGTCATCGTCGTCGTCCGTCGTCGTCGTCGTCATCCGTCGTCGTCGTCGTCGTCGTCGTCGTCCTCGTCCGTCGCCGTCCGTCGTCGTCGTCGTCGTCGTCGTCGTCCGTCGTCGTCGTCGTCGTCCGTGGTCGGTCGTCCATCGTCGTCGTCGTTGTCGTCGTCGTCGTCCGTCGTCGTCGTCGTCGTCGCCGTCGTCGTCGTCGTCGTCGTCGTCGTCGTCGTCGTCGTGGTCCGTCGTCGTCGTCCTCGTCGTCGTCGACCGTCGTCGACCGTCGTCGTCGTCGTCATCGTCGTCGTCGGCGTCGTCCGTCGTTCGTCGTCGTTGTCTTCGTCGTCCTCGTTTTCGGTCGTCGTCGTCGTCGTCCGTCGTCGTCGTCCGTCGTCGTCGTCGTCGTCGTCCGTCGTCGTCCGTCGTCGTCGTTGTCGGCGTCTGTCGTCGTCATCGTCGTCCGTAGTCCGTCGTCCATCGTCGTCATCGTCGTCGTGATTGTCCGTCGTCGTCGTCGACGTCGTCGTCGTCGTCCGTCGTCGTCGTCGTCGTCGTCGTCGTCCGTCGTCGTCGTCGTCGTCGTCCGTCGTCGTCATCGTCGTCGTTGCCCGTCGTCGTCCTTCGTCGTCGTCGTCCGTGGTCCGTCGTCGTTGTCTTCGTCGTCCTCGATTTCGATCGTCGTCGTTTCTGTCGTCGTTGTCGTCCGTCGTCGTTGTCGTCATCATCGTCCGTCGTCGTCGTCGTCGTCGTCGTCGTCGTCGTCGTCGTCATCGTCGTCCGTCGTCGTCGTCGTCGTCGTCCGTCGTCGTCGTCGTCGTCGTCGTCGTCCGTCGTCGTCGTCGTCAATGTCGTCGTCGTCATCGTCGCTGTCCGTCGTCGTCGCTTGGGGATCACAGAAGAGGGGGAGCCGTGGAGCGGCAACGAGAGAGGGGCGGAGCGACAGGGTGGAGGAGGGGGGGAGGCGGCACTGGCCGGCAAGGGACGGAACGGGCGCAAGGGGGGGGGGGGGCGTGCCTGGGCGGTCCGAGAGGCATGGGGGATGCGGGAGGGGCAGCGCTGCCCCTCGCGGGAGTCATCCTAAGCGGGAGCTCCGCAAGGAGCAGTGCCCGCACGGAGAGCGGGGAGGAGGAGGAGGAGGAGGAGGAGGAGGAGGAGGAGGAGGAGGAAGAGGAGGAGGAGGAAGAGGAGGAGGGGGAGGAGGAGGACGAAGGAGGAGGAGGAGGAAGGAGGAGGGGGAGGAGGAGGAGTAATAGGAGGAGGGGGAAGAACAATAGGAGTAGGAGGAAGAGGAGGAGGAGGAGGAAGAGGCGAAGGAAGAGCAGGAGGAGGAGTAATAGAAGTAATAGGAGTAAGAGGAGGAGGAGGAGGAGGAGGAGGAGAAGGAGGAGGAGAAGGAGGAGAGGAGGAGGACGAGGGTGCCCCAGCGCGCTGCCAACACCCAGGCTCCAAGCAGCGCAGGATGCAAGGCCTGGCCGCAAAACGCAAAACATTCGAGCATCAGCCCAGGCTGGCTATCATCGGGGGGAAGACCTCCAAATGGCCTCTACAGGACCTGCAGGGAAACGAGGAAGACGACGACGAGGAGTGGAAGCCATGAGGGAGAGCGGGGACGACGGTTGCAACGAGGACTGGGGGAAGCGGAAGAGAGGCATGACGAGGACGAGAAGCTGCAGGGCTGGGAGAACGAAGGATAGAGAGGAAGACGACGACACTGAGCATGGCGAGGAGGAGGGAGGAGGAGGAGGAGGAGGAGGAGGAGGAGGAGGAGGAGGAGGAGGAGGAGGACGGGTGATGAGGACGACGAGGACGAGGCGACGAGTACGAGGAGGATTGGCGAAGCAGTCGAGGAGCAAGACGTGCAGCTGTTGCCGCTACCGATATGTCGCTCTTGCTGCTCGTCGTCGTCCTCCTCCTCCTTTTCCTCCTCCGCCGCCGCCTCCTCCTCCTCCTCCTCAGCCACGCCCTTCAGACGCCGACGCTCCGCGCCCCGCACACGTCCTGTTCCCTCCCGCCGCCCACCCACACTTACGCCTCCTGCTCTAGCCTGCGTCCGACCAGGCGCGAGGGGCTGCGTGCTGCGGTAGAACTAGACCCATGTACCGCGTGCGCGAGGGCCTGCCACTCCTTCCGGGCTCTCTGACCTGCCGGAAACCGAGCGCGCTTCCCGGAGCGCAGAAATTACCGCGGCATGTCAGATTCTCACCCGCCGGTGCTTGCGCTCATGTGAGCTCTCCTGCGATCCTCTGTGTGTCCAGATGATCCGACGGGTCCACCGCAGATTTTCCACATTTGGCGCCCGCGCCGCCCCACGGGCGCTCGAGGGCGCCCCGTGCCCTGGGCGGGTCCGCCGAGGTCTCGCCGCGTTGGCGCTCGCGCGCGCCCGTGGGCGCCTCGGAAGCGCTCGTGGGCGCCGCGTGCCCTGGGTGGGTCCGCCGAGGTTTCGCCGCGCTGACGCCCCCTGGCAGCCCGTGGGCGCTCGATGGCGCCCCGTGCCCTGGGTAGGTGCATAGTTCTCACACCGTGTGACGCGCACAACAAAGAGAACACCGTAGGGTTTGCAAAACACAGCTCAAACTACAGCGGTCAATCCTCGAAGCTTGCACGCCATAGCTCACACATATATTACAACACACTGTTTTCTACCACATAACCCCAACCCAACTTGTCCTCAGTGTTGTTTGGGTTTGTTTCGGTTCCAGGGCATTGGGTGTTTGGGTCTCTGTGTTGGTCTCGTGGTTGTGTTTCGTGGTCGGTTTCTTGGGTTTTTTTTCTCCTCATCCGACAGGTTGAGGTTGCTGGATTTCAAGAACAGGCCCCCAGGCCAACCCCACCCTGCATACCGCGGCCGCCAGACACCAAGCAGCTCCGAGAATCCCTGGTGTCCCGTCCCGTGTCCGGCCGACCCCACTCAGCATACCGCGGCCGCCAAGCACAAAATTGTCCCGATGATGCCTGAGAGTCCCGGGTGTCCCGCCTCGCGCCCTCGACGAACTCGACAGAACACAACATTACATAACATATCATGACAGAACGGAACACATCATGACACAACATGACGGAACATAACATATCAAACCTTTACAAACTTGCACATAACAATACATCACATAACATACAAGAGCAGAACCTGACATAACCTAATACGACATAGCACAACATAACACAGCAGAGCCGAGCAGAGCATAACACACCTGGACATAACGTATCAGATCATTGCACAACATCACATAACATATCGTAACACGACAGCAGAGCATAGCGACGACGAACGCGACATAACACAACATGGCACAACATAACCTGGCATAACAGGTCACGAGCATGAATGCCCAAGGCAGAACCGAACTTAGCAACGCCATGCCAAACTAAATCATACAATAACATCGCAGACCAGACCAGAGCAGAACATTACATAACAGAAAAAGACATAACAAAACAGAACATAGCATGACAGAGCATAACATAACACACGTTGGCATATCATGTCATGCCATGACTCAGCATTACAGAACATATCATAACACGGTAGCAGGGCATAAGGACACACACAAGCAATGCATATCATAATCTACTATACAGAGCCGAGCCAAACAGAACATCACAGAGCATACCAGAGCAGAACATGGCAGAACAGAAGACAGCTCACAACATAACAGAACATAACCGAGCATTCCATAACACGCCTTGACAGACCAGATCGTATCATGACACAGCATCACAGAACATATCATAACACGCCACCAGTGCATAGCGGCACATGCTAGCAGAGCAACTCAAACTAGACTATACAGAACCTGACCGTGAACAAACATAACATCACAGAACGTACCCCAACATAACATGACAGAACAGAAGACGACATATCACAGCATGACAGAACAATGCCGGGCATACCATAACACATCATGGCAAAGACGATCATATCAGACCATGGCAGCATCTTTGGAATCTCATAGCACGACAGCAACTCGAAAAATAGCAGCGCAGCTCATAGTCAATCATATTGAGACGAGCTGTAAACAGCCTCACTACCAACAGTTGTCACCAGCAAATGCGCAAACTAGCGGAGCACACTAGAACAAAACCTGACATACCATATCACATAGCAGATCATACCATAACATACCAAAGCATATGGTGACAGAGATGAGCATAGCATAACCTACTCAATCAGAAGAGACACATTTCAGTGAAGAGGAGCAACATAACCGACGATGCATCCAACGTCACAGGCGTCACGACGTCACGCTGGCCCGTCAAGAACTGAACAATACATCATAGAACATAACATGAAAGAGCGTGACTACATGGAACATGGTTGAACCGTTTTTGAGCCCAGAACGGCACTTGACAACCAATTCGGCGGCCGAACGCCGTCGGGAACAAGCGCGTACGGTTTCGGTGGGGATCGCTCAAAACAGAATACTTGTTTTGGGTTTGTTTCTGTGTATTGTGCAACCCACCGCCCACGCAATGAATCGACTCAGAATCCCCACGTGAAGCAGAATCGACTGTCACTCCCCGCAGAAGGAATCCTGTAGTATATTCTCTACAGAAGAAGCGCGTCTTTGAATCCGCAGCAGACTGCGCTGGGCAAGAAAGAAGAGAATAATGATGTGGAAGATGAGACTGGACAGGAGAAGGACAATTGGTCATGATGTGGGCACGCAGGATGAGGATAAAAGAGGCCACAAAGAGGCGAGGAAACATAGGGGAATCGCGAAACCCGCTTCTGATGTTGATCTTGGGAGGGAGGTCGAACCGCTCTTCCCTCCTCTCTCTCTTTCTCTTTCTCTCTCTCTCTCTCCCTCTCCGTTCTCCGAATGCCAGCAAGCCAAAATCGCGTGGGGGGGGCGGGACGGGGGCACGCACCACATAGCTTACACATTGCTTCCACAATGCAACACATTTCTGTTCGGATACCATGATGCGAGTGGATGTAATCAAAACGGGATGCCGGACAATACCCATGAGCTGCGATGCAGTAGAAGTATGGCCCGCGGGTCCGTCATCTCGTACGAGACCATGTTCCTCCCATCGACAAACTGAAACACCAATTCACGAAAGCGGGGGGGGGAGACAGGGAGTCGAAGGGAGAGTAGACCGGAACTGAGAGGCAGGGGGAGAGAGAAAGAGAGAAAGGGAGACAGAAAGGGAGAACCAGACGGGGGGAGACAGTAAGGGAGGGAAAGAGGCACAACGAGAGATAGAAACACACACACACACATACAGTCACATACATATGCATATGTATCTTTGTATATGTATGTCTTCAGACTAGCCGGCGTGGGCCCCACACAGTGTGCTTCTAGCAACGGGCGTTGTGCAACCCAAGTGAAGCAATATAATTGGTGCAACTTACGTGCTGCAGAGCATGCGATGCAAACTATGTGCAATAAATGCCGTGCGATCTGATGCATAGTTGTGCAGCCTAGGTTCGGCAATATGTGTGGTGCAAGCTGCGTGGTGCAATCTATGAGGTGCATTTTGCCCGCCTGAAGTTGAAGTCGTCAACTCCCCCGCTTGCAAAAACAATCCCGCATACCCATCTGCAACTTGGTGTGCAAAACCCGTGCGGCAAAGAGTGCGATGATTGCTTGGCGCTGGCAGGCTCGCGCGAAGAGCGGCCAGCTGGTCTGGCGCGACCGACGCAGCCGCGGTGGCGCTGACCACTAGAAACTCCACAGCCTGTCTCGCAGGCCGCGCTGGCGCGCGAACACTTCAGTACGATTCGTTGATGCGGGCGGGCGCGGTATCACAGCGCCGCCGACAGCAGCAGACACGATGGTGATGGTAGCGATGCTGGCGGCGATGATGCCAGTGACAACGGCAATTCCAATTACGGCGCCGATGCTGGTCACGCGCGATGTCGACGATGGTGTCCACGTGTCGGTGATGAAGGTATTGGAAGGATTTCGACATGCGCGCGCGGCCGACGCGCGCGAGTGGCCCGCATGGAATCATTTGACAGGGATCGCGTCCCCCCACCACACTTGCAAGGGCCTTCGAATGATTTCGGCGAAGCTCGTTTGGTCGCACTCGGCGGCAACATTGGCAACAAATGGTTGTCCTAAGAATTCGCAATAAGTGCGGGCGCATGTATGTTTACCCAAAAAATGTCGGCGCCCCGCTTATGTTTTGATATGCTTCCGGGACACTCGATGTTGAAATCCTTACCAAACTGACGGTTTTTGAAGACTGCGGGCATGCGCGCGCGACGACGCTCGCGCGCACTGCGTCCTATTGTGTGCAAAGGAATCCTTGCACATGGATGATGTTCGATAAACGAGTGCGCGCGCATAGTACCACTTGATGAGGCTGAGGGGGTGTTCAGATACTGGCCTGGCTGGGCATGTATGAACTCAGATTCCTAATGATTGGTCTGGCAGGATCATACGTAAATTGCACATCCCCTGGGGGGACGGATTAGTCCAGCCTCGGGAGGGTGGTGGACCTTAGGTGGTGGACCCTCATCTTCTCTAAAATATGGCAAGCACTGCTTGGGGCATGGAGAGGAGAAGGTGCGCGCGCCCGCGCCCCCGCGCCTCTGGCACGAACTGGAACGCCCCAAAGCTCATGCAGCACTGAGAGGTAGAGTCTGCGCTGCTGCTGTAGCGAGAATGGTAAGTCTTTAAAGACTTTTGAAAGTCCCAAAACAGTGCGGTGAGAGCACGGTGCGGTGAGTTTGGCGCGTGCTGGGTGGTTCAGTCGTTCGCGCAGCTTGGGCCCCAGTGGTCGCATGTAGCGCGGGGCTCAGGCACTTTGCGCTTGGCCCCGCACGCGCGTTATATCTGGGCCGCGGCACATTGCTTAACGCGCGAGATTATCGCCCGACCTGCGCGCATGGTTTTGTCTGTTTTGTTTTCTGGTGCAGTAGTGCGGCGACAGATTGGATAAGACCGCTGCGAGTATGCTGGCGTGCGTTGTGCGAGCACTCTGGCGCTCATCCTGGGGCGCCCTCCGCTGGGCGGTTGGATGCAACGTAGGTTCGCGGAGCTAACACACATCTCATCCTCTTTATCTCCCTCGTCACCCCTCTCCTCCTCTATTCATCTCTCCTCCTTCCTTTTCCACCCCTTCCCGTCCTTCCTCTCCTACTCCTTTCTCCTCCACCTCGTCCAGTTTCCTCCACTTCGGCGTCCTCCCCCTCCTGAGAGCAGAGCGACCAGCATAGAATGGCAACGGCGGTGGCCAGAAGGGCAACTCGACAAGGAGCATGCCTCACGAGGGCGTATGCCCCCGTCGTGGCGCGCCCACTCGGTCGCTCAGGCGCCCCCTTTGGCCCTGCCACCTCCTTGGAGGTGGCCCTAAGCCGCCGTAAGAATTTGCTCCGCGCACCCCTGGTTCCGCCAGCACGGAATCCCGGAAAAAATTGAAACGGGTCACCGCCTGGTTTTGGGACTCGGGTGTTTTTTGAGGATTTCTCGAGCGTCGGCGGGTTGACGAGTCACAAGACCGTGCGGTGCCCCTGGTCCCAAAACGGTGCGGTGACATTTCCAGGATTTCGTGGCCGCCCTGTCCGAGCCCCCGTCCTGGCCAGTGCCCGCCTCGCCCGTCACGGTCGCTAGCCGCTGCCGCGCTCCGCGTCGTCGACCCCCCCGGGTCGGAGTCGGGTCAAGAGTAGACGGCGTTCTTATATGCTCCAACATGTTGAATACGCCGTGTTGCAGGTGCGGTCTGTCGGATGGCGTTGGCGCGAGGTCAGGACGACGGAGGCTAAACGCAAGATCGCAGCATGAGGTGCATATCATTTCACCATTCGAGCCTTCGCCCTCCCGTGACGGGCGCCGCGCATGCCGTGACGCAACAGGTTCGTGGCCAACTTTTCGTTGCAATGTCTGGTTGCGTGCGTCTACGGAAAAATCGGCAGCTCAGTGCCGCTAGCGTTTTGGAGCGGTGATGTTTTTCTCGCGCAGGTGCCGCGGTGCGCTTTCAGGGTGTAGCCGCCGCTACAGCAGAGGGCGAGGCATTGCAGCACCAGTGGTAGCATATTGGCTCGGGACTTCCTGACTTGCTGTGGATCCCCTTGTCGTTCGTGGGCGCAGGATGGGATTCGCGCGAACCCCGCCGCGGACCCTTCTGGAGGGGCCTTGAGTGGAAACCTTGCCTTGCCAGAAAATCCCGGGGTCACCGCCTGGTGCCTCACCGCACCGTTCCGGGACCCCCAAGACTTAAGAGGCCGCGGGGACCCTGGGGCCCGAGGCCCTCGCGAGGAGGCTGCGTCGGGGCCTCTTCGCGGGAAGGGGGCCGTGCCTGAGGCGGGCCGCCCCCGCCACGAGGAGTCGCCGCCTGGGCCACCGGGCGTGAAGCGAAGGTGATCAAAACGGAAAACCGAAGGCCCGCCGAGGCCGACGGGGTCGCGGGGCGAGAGAAGGAGAGAGAAGGCGCGCGGACGGGGTGCCGCGCTGGGAGTGAAGCTCCAGCGAGGGCGCGGCGGCGAGGTGGCGCGCCCCCGCGCCGGCTCTGGCGGGCAGAGCATCCGGAAGAGGATCTGCAGGAAGCTGAAATTCAGGATGCTCGCCCGGGTCATGGCACATGTGGCGCACCAGCTGCGGCGCTGCCAGACAGAGCCAATAGCGTGGCTTTTAGGCTCTACGTCGGCGTCGGCATGAGCAACATGTCCGGGTTGTGCGTCAGGAAGATCTTGGAGGCCGTGCAGCGCTTGTCGTCCAGGGCTCTGGTAGGGCCAGCAGGACGTAGGTCATCAGGTAGTTCGTCATGAGGAAGTATGTACGTCAGGGCAAACGTCTGGAGGGAGTATCACTGTGTAGAGCTTGAGGATCTTGTAGACGAAATACTTGATGTAGAGATACTGGCCTCCACCTTGGAGGAATACCTCGCCTCATGCGTTCTTCCTCGCGGGCTTGCTCTCGGAAATCGGGGCTGTGCGTCGAGGGCCTTCAGTCGGCTGAACCGCCGGAGGGCGTGCTGAGGTCGCGCGGCGGTGCGAGCGTGGAAAGGCCATGGCGCGCGCTGGCGGGAGGATTGCACGAGGTGGTTTATTTGCCCCGGCTTGGCGAGGGGAGCGGTCTCACTACGTGAAGGTATCGCCAAAGGCTCGCAGCCTCCCCTGAGGCTTGAACCGAGACTAGAGACAGAGAGAGAGAGAGAGAAAAAGAGAGAGAGAGAGAGAGAGTGAGAGAGAGAGGGAGAACGAAAGAGAGAGAGAGAGAGAGATAGAAAGAGACATAGACAGAGACAAGTACAACCATATATATGGAGCAATAACGAAAGAAAAAGAAAACTGCCCTGACTCGCGCGTGTGTCCGCGCCCGCGCCCAGCCGACGAGCGGCCCGTGCGGCGAGCCCTCCTGGCTTTGGGCGCAGCGCTCGGGCGGTGCGGTGCCCGGGGCCCACCGGGGCAGCGAGGCTAGCGCAGAAGCAGGTTTGAACGCCCCGCCGCGGCTGCACAGCGGGCGTTGCGCAGCGGGAGGGGGGGGGGCGACAAACCGGGGGGGGGGTGGAAGACGCGTGCACCTGCCATGACCCTCTTGGGTTCCAGGGGGCCCCTTTCAGGGCACCCACCAAGGGGCACAAAAAAATGCTCGTGTCTTCGCCCCGGGAAACGAGAGAAAAAAAAGTATACACAACACCACCCCGACGTCGCCCCCGACCCTCAAAAAAGCCTAGGATTGAGAAACACTCCGCCGCTGGCAGCGGATATGCTACAATCTCCGAGTCAGAATGCAAGGGCCCTGGACGCCGAGGTTGGCACTTTTCGGGCGGTGGACTGCCAGCACCCTGAGGGGCTGGCCAGTGAAAACCGCGAAGGACGGGCCGCTGAGGCAAGGACACAAGGGCACCCTGAGGACATCCGTGCGTCCGCACCATGAGTTTTGACTGTAGCTGATTTCTCCGGCGCCGATGTACCTAGTCATCGAGGAAGTCGCCAAGCGGCGGGGCCGAGACCGACTGCATGCACGCGACCTCCTAACCTGCCCTCCTTCGCTACCGCGGGTTCGTGTCGTGTCGGCCCCAGAGTTGGCTCGTGACACCGCGGGAGTCGTTCCATCTTGAACGAGCGGCCATCCCCGAAACGTCAGGTCGTTCAACATCGACCGATTTTTGGTCACCGGCGGCATTCAACGTTGAACGCCGGCTGCGGGCCGGCCGCCGGTCGACACGACGAGAGCCTACAGTAGACTCCCCTCCGCCAGGGGGTTGCAGTGCCGAAAATCTGGCCGATTGTGGCAAGAAGGGGCGCCCGAGTTGTCGGCACGTGCTGGAGGGTGACCGAACCCCCTGGTTCGGAAGCAAAACGATTTTCAGCTGTGGCCCCACATTCGGTCCCACTATGTCCGGGGGGGGATATCCCCCAAGAGGGATTGTAGACTTCTGGTGGTGGTGCTAGGGTCATATGTGGGGAGAGCCCCGCGACGCCTAATGCATTATCGCAGATCTCCAGTTCAACGGCCTTTATGAGTGTGACATCAACGCACGCGACTGCAACGACTGCAAAGATATGTACGCGGCATGAAACAACACATCCTCAGATGCCAGGGGAGGTGAGGGGGGAGATGCAGGGCGAGGGGCGAATGGCCAACGCCCACCCACCCCCCACGCTGAGTAGTAGTCGCTGAATGGCGTAAGGGCCGTGACACACGGCTTCAGCATCTGCTTCTTCGCCTGCTCGCTCGGC